AACATGGGCTGGCCTGCAGAGTGCTGGGATTACAGGCATGCAACCACCATGCACAGCCTAAAAATAACTCCTTAAAATGACCCTGGAATGTCCTAAATTAGGAGAAGAGAACATAAGAGAAAGGAATGGACAGCGTGGAAGCTGAGTTCTAGTCCAGCTGGTCCACAAACAGGTTGCCTGGGCCAAATATCTAATCATTTCAAGTTTCACCAACCACATGTACTGAAGCTAGAGGATTCACAATGCCCTTCCTAGATGGAAAGGTCCCTTTTTGGCTTTTTGTTTCGATAGAAGGTCTAATATACCTACATCTATCTCATAGTGTAGCTGAGGATGACCTTGAACTTCTGATCCTGCCTCTATCTCCCAAGAGCTAGGATTGATTACAAGCTATGCTAGCAACTGAGCTATATTCTGAGCACTCAGACACACTCTTAGTAGTTTTTTGAGAATCTCACTATGTAGCCAAAATTGGCCTAAATCCCCAATCCTCCTGCCTCAGCCCTCTAGGAGCTGGGAGCTAAAGGCATTTGCCCTAACACCTGTCTGCTGAATATATTTTTTTAAAGGAATCATTGAAACAGATAAGATTTTTGGTTTCACTCTTCTTAGTTTAATTTTCTATCCATGTCAAAGAACCTAGTACCATCCCAAGTCTACTCACTGTAGATTTAACAGTCATTCCAATAGAAACTGCTTATAGGAATTCGATGAGTTTGCTTAGAGCAATTGGGTGCTTCCTTAGAGTAAGCATCATATAATTCAGACTATTAATACTAGCCAGGTATGGTGGTGAACACCTCTGATCCCAACACTTGGGAGGCAGAGGCAGGAGGATCTCTGGGAGTTCAGGGCCAGCCTAGTCTACAGCCTAGAGATTTCAAGGACAGTCAGGGCTAAACAGAGAAACCCTGTCTCAAAAACTAACAAAAAATCTAGTTCGCATTAGCTGTGAAAACTTAACTGTGGATGGAATTGGGGGTTCATGTGGCCCATTGGTCTTTGGTTTTAGACCCTAAAATTTAGAGGAATGAAGGGAAAGTCTGCCAAGTTCATCTTAAAGTCACAGAGAATAATCCTACATCCTTGAGACTAGCTGTGGCTTCCTCCAGATTGCTGTACAGATTTCAGTGGAGGTTAATGATGAATCAGAGGGAGGAAAGGTTACTTTGACCAAAAAACTGGGCAAATCTGGGTTAAACTCAAGCAGAATCCTTGATTGTACTACTTTATGGAGCCTGTAGTATAAATTCTGTATGTGACTGTCCCCGATAATTTTTATTCACCTTGTGCTTTCCTAACATTTGCTTTTGGAACCACAGAAAGCAAATTGGTTGGTTGTTAAAGAATTAACTTGTTGCTGGGCGGTGGTGGCACACGCCTTTAATCCCAGCACTCAGGAGGCAGAGGCAGGTGGATCTCTGTGAGTTCCAGGCCAGCCTGGTCTACAGAGTGAGTTCCAGGAAAGGTGCAAAGCTACACAGAGAAACCCTGTCTGGAAAAAAACAAACAAACAAACAAAAAGAATTAACTTGTTAAAAAAATTAACTTGTAGGAAAATTAACTAGTATCTTCAGGTAGACACCAGAGTACTTTAACTCCCTTTTACTTTGTGGCATGTCCTCTTAGGCCTCAGACCCTTGGGTACTATACATTTTTCCGGCTTTGTTGTTGTTTTTTTCTTTTTGAGACAAAGTCTCAATCTACCCTAGGCTGGCTAAAACTCAAAGCAGTCCTCCTTCCTCTGCCTGCCATGTGCTGGAATCAGAGGTGAGAGTTGCCACACCCATCTCTGCCAAACATGTTCTTGATTGTTCCATAATGGTCACCATCTTCATCAAAAAGATGGTAACACCAGGGCCAGGGAGATGGCTCAGCCATTAAAGGCTAGGCTCAAAATCAAAAGGATAAGAGGTGTTTTAATGGGTAAAGGCATTTGCCACCCCCAAGCCTGACAACCTGAATTTGATATCTGAGACTCTACCATGGTAGAGAGGGAGAACCAGCAGGTTGTCCTGTGCCCTCCCTCACATGCTGAGCCTCTCCAGCCTCTTACACGGTGTGCAGCCTTAAGCTCCAAGCCTCAGCTTTTTTATCCATGAAATGGTGTTAAGCGAGATAGTTTATGTACCCGATAGCACCCCTGAATTAATGGTCCCCAGCATAACTTCACATTTCTTCCGGGATCTATGTACTTGTCGATAAGTTGTTTTGGAAAAACAGGCTGCAATGGACTGAGCCATTGAGTGGTTGTATTTGCAGTAGAAAGGGGGTTGCATGTCGTCATAAGTGTTACATTATGGGGCACGGCTATTCAGACCTTTGGTCTCTGTAACAAATACCTGAGAAAACTTGCACTAGCTTGGGTTTATTTGGCCTCGCTTTCAGAGATTTCAGCAGTGGTCCTAGGCTCCACTGTTTCATGTCAGAAGGGCAGGACGGAGCAGAAGTGTTCATCTTGTACAGGAACAAGGAGTGACAGGAAGTGGCCTGAGACAAGATACGCTTCAAAGGGCTGCCCTCAGTGACCTATTTTTTTTCCATCCAAGGCCCTAAGATCCCATTTGTTTATGAACTGAAACATGGACTGATCGTTGATGAAGTCAATCACCCCCCCCAACAGTACCACCACAGTGGGACCAAGCCTTAAATACAAGAGCCCTTTTGAAGAACACTACATATCCAAACACTAAAAATAAAATCTTCATTTATGTTCATCCCCTGCCCTGTGAAGTTGGGAGGCTTGGACTTTGTGTTGCTGGGTATTGAACCCAGGGCTGACACCTCCAGCCGAGGGTGTAACACAATATGACATGGACTGTTCTCAGGAGGCCAGTAGAGAAGAGGCAGTATGTGTAGTATGACAGAACATGTTCCATCTCAGTCTCCTCATCTGAAAACTCAGCATGCTTCCATGAGCAGTGTTAAAATTAACACGCTATCAGGAATTATCAACTCACTGGATCACAGAATAGGCATGTTGTTGTGTTTTCTTTTTTTCTTTTGGTTTTTTGAGACAGGGTTTCCCTGTGTAACAGCTCTGGCTGTCCTGGAACTCACTCTGTAGACCAGGCTGGCCTCGAACTCACAAAGAACCACCTGCCTCTGCCCACTGAGTGCTGGAATTAATGGTGAGCACCACCACCACCCAGCTTCATGCGGTCCATCTTATTTCCTCTCTTCCCATTTCTAACAAAATGGAGAACTGCTTGCAGGAAAGTACACTGTAGATTAAAACCCCAGATCTCAGCCTCCCTGAGGGTCACTGCCCGTCATCTCTGGTCTCGGGGTTTTTCCTGTCTCTACTGCCTAGTGTGTTTGGAAGCCTTGCCTAAGCAAACTGAACACGCACTTCCCACTCCCATGCTCGGAACCAAACCAGGGCCTTGCATTTGCTAGGCAAGCAATCCATTGACCTCAGTCTCCCACACTCCAGCAGCTTGTTTTACTTACTGCTTTTTTTTTTTTTTCCTATTTCACTTATTTATCTTGACAGAACTGTTTTACATATCAAGT